GTTTTTAGCCAAACAGATATTGCTTTGTTATGTCTGATTTGTAAAGGGCTTTACTTTGTCTTGTGGGATTCATTAGAAACCCTCTTGTTTGAATTCATGTATTTTCGGTTCCAATGATTTCACTATGGATGAAATGTATGTTGTCTTAGGCTCTTAGTACAGCTTTGCCCATTGAGAAAATTACTGGATACCAGTAGAACAATTCAATGTATACTAAATATTGTATGTACTGAAGTACCCATTTCCTTTTTATCTTAGAGGGCTCTTGTTGTCTTTATGCTGATCTTATTCTAATTATTTTGGTGATTCTCAGTAAGGAGATAACCATGGACCCTTCAGAACTTAGGTATTTGGAGGATGAGGATACCCCAACAATGAAAACAATCAAGGGTGCCACTACAGGTTTGGTTGCTGGAACTATTTGGGGGACCGTTGTTGCTACGTGGTATGATGTGCCTCGTGTGGAGAGAAGTGTTGCCCTTCCAGGGCTGATTAGGACACTGAAGATGATGGGAAATTATGGAATGACATTTGCTGCAATTGGAGGAGTCTACATTGGTGTTGAGCAGGTTTTGCAGAATTACAGGATGAAGAGAGATTTTGTTAATGGTGCTGTTGGTGGTTTTGTAGCTGGAGCTACCATTCTCGGTTTTAAAGGTCAGGCTTCATCCTTTGATGACTAGTTTTCTTCTTCATTTTAATACTCACTCTATCCACTTTTATGGGGAAAATTAGCATGCAGTCCATTTACCTAGCTGAGATAAGTAGATAACATATCAGTCAGGTGGTTTGACCATTCCTTTTTATAAAAAATGACCTAGGTTGTGTTTGGGATTGCTGTGAAGTGCTAAAGCTGTGACTTTTTCAGTATTCTATTATGAGAAAAATTATGTTACTATTTGATAATTGCATTAGAAAGAGTCTTATACATTAAAATGACCACTGAATTATACAAAATATCAATTAGAATTAATTTAATTTTAATAATTTAACACTTTTAATGTGGTGCTGTGTGGAAAAGCACGGTGGAAAAGCAGCCCCAAACACAAAATCTCCAGATTATGTACATTTGTATTAACCTATACAAAATACGGTTTTGGGTTTTGCTAATCCTTTGAAGCTTGGAAGCTTGTAAAGTTTCCTTGGAGCTTTACCATCATCTTGACAACGATACTAAGGGATATGGTAAGATTCTTTCTGATGGTTTTGCAATTTCTTGTGCTGCTTTGTTGAATAATTCTCTATCAATTTACACAATATTTGCTTTGAATTTATGAACTAAACATACTAGCTTAAGTGATAGTTTTCTATTAATTTGTTAATACTCTTAGAGGGAACTTGGAGGGCTTTCCATGCCCTATGTAGGTGTTTGAGTTATAACTTGACAATCTAACCAATCCATAGCAGCTTCTCAATCATTATAACTTAAGTGATCATGAGACTCGTGATCTTCTACAAAACCTTTAGGCTCTTAAAAGAGAACAAAGAAGACATTCAATGTCCTAAACAGGTGACTGAAGCATAACACCAATCCATGTTATATTAGCTTCCTTAGTTACCACTACCTGCAAATATTCTACAATTATTCTGTTCTTACATGGGTTAATTGCTACCCAATTTTCAGGAAGAAGCATCTCAACAGCAATTTCTGCTGGAACAGCATTAGCAGTCACTTCAGCAGCTATTGATGCTGGAGGTCAAACAACAAGAACTGACGTAGGGAAAGAGTACTACCCATACACTACCAAGAAAAGATCTGCTGCTGAATCATAATTCTATCATGCTGCCTGTTCGCCATTGAGACAGAGAGACACTCCCAACTTAATTAGTGGGAAAGAATTGGCCGCTGTATGCGTTGGTTTCTAGAGATCTGATCATACTCTTGATTCTCTTTTTGCAATTGAACTCTTGGAGCAAAAACACACAATTCAAATAAAAAAATATGCTTTGTAATTCTCAAAGTTAGGTTTTATTTTCTGATTCTATTTTCTGATTGGAATCCTACTTTTGCAATCACATGAATATGAAATGTTGAGAAATTCATAGTTAAAGAGTTGGAGAGGTCTTGAAGCATTCTTCTATTATGCAAATTAGAATTACATGGTTCAATTTCGAAAACAAAATTATTCCTTTTCTTCTTTACATCCAAACATGTTACAGCAGCAACACCATAAGTACACATAAAGAGACAGAGAAAGTGTAAAATCCAGCATCTATTATAACTTATTCTACAGAAGAGAAGAAGGGCAACCCATCACCTTTCTCGAGGAAGCTGTAATCTCATAAATCACAGACGAGAGAAACTTGGCTTCACAGGGAAGTGTGGAACCAGAATCGGAGCCTGGGGACACTCTGTTTGATTGAAGTCAAGCGTTAAAGGCCGACTCGCCGCCCTTTCATCATCACCAGTTATACGAGAGGGACGGTAGAAGCAACAGCAGATAGATGAGAAGAATCGCATGGTTCCTTCCTCTCTGTGAAAAGATTTCATGTGAATTCAATTAATGAAAAAAAATCTAATGTTAGTCTTTCTTTTGGTAATAGTATATTAGCCCTTTTGATCCAAGTGGCTATGTTTTTTCAACGTCAATTGTTGTTAGTCAACTCACATGCTAATTGCTATACGGTGTATATTAGTTAATAAATTTTTCTTATCAAACTACTCCTACCATGCATCTTACGGTGAGAAGAAATTTATCCCTTATTTTATTTTATTTTTATTTTTTTATATTGATTGTTTAACAGGAAGTTATTGTTTTTCATTTTTTATTCTATCTCATTCGTATGTCATGTGACTCTAACTCATGACTTTTTATTTCTAACTAAAAGATATTATCACTGAAATATTTAGATAGTTAATAGAAAAAAAAATTATCTAAATTGTCTGTGCTGTTAAACAGATGTCCTTAAAAGGAAGAAAAAAAAGTTAGGCGGAAGGAAGTTTTAGTTCTCATTCTCATTGGAGGGGATAGAATATATGTGGCTGCTAAATACTTATATAAAATCATTTTAAAAAAAAAAATTGCCTGCATCGAAGCATTTGTTCCAACTATCATTGTGTTCCAAGCGCCACGGCTCTTTTAAAAACTGCGGTAATTGATAAAAGTCCAAGGTTTAAGTTTGGAAGGTCTTATTTTTTACTTCTTTAATTGTATTAGTTTTTTAAAAAAATTGTCATTAAATAATATTTAAATTACATGTTATTATAGTAATTTTTTTTTATCAAAATAACTTTTTTTTAATGTATTTCAAATTAATTGTTATTTTTTTATTTTTAAGGTACACAAATATTTTTTCTTACTTTAATCATATCATTATTTATTTATTTTGATTAATTATCCCATTATTAAAAAATCTTACTTTATTTTTTAACTTTTTCCTAATATTATGAGAGGGATTGGATGGTATAATATTATGGGTGTGGTTATTGCGACCGGGAAGATCTAAGGCAACCAAAATTTTCGATTTGTTTGTTAAATAATATTTAAAAATATTAATTTATTATCAACGATTTAAATAATTTAATATTGGTTTTTTTTCGTTAAAAGCTACCACTAAAAAAAGAAATTATGAGTTGAAATCACATCATATGTGAGTGAAATGAAACAAGAGATAGAAGAGAGTTATCTCTTATCGTGCAACTATCATAAAAAAATATATTAATTTATTAATTAATTTTAATTTATTAAATAATAAATATTAATTAATTATTAATTATTAATTATTAATTATTTTATCAATAAAATTAATATTTTTAAAAATAATATTTTATAATTTTAATTGTGATAATATTATTGTTAGTGGTAATAATCGGTCGTGCTTATCATAGGCTGCGTTTCAGAATTCACACGTTCCGATGTTTGAGTGGGTTTCGCTGATCAAGGCAAGGCCCAAAAGTGTGGGGTGTCAAGTAATGGGCCTAATGGTGCCACTCTATCCCATGCTTTCACTGGGCCATTGTTAAGCTGCCTAACAGCAGGACCCATTTTACACCTCTAAGTCCATGGGAAGTATTGGGCTCTACAAATGCTTGTTATTTTTGGGCCGAATTCTGTTATTGGACTCACAAGTCACATCCTTACCCAACCCAATTGGAACTTGGAAGTCGACAAGAAAGCCTAGATATCCATATGCCCTAAAAAAATGAATAAACTATTAGACTGCCACAACCTTATGTTTAAAGTACCCTTTAGGAGTTGAGATGATGACAAAAAGAACCCAACAAAAGGGGACTGTAACTTGAATATTCTAGGACCAAGTTGCACTAGAGGTCGGAGTTAACCTCCCATACTG